CCCATCCACCTTCTACTTGTTCCCATTGCCCTCTGCCTGGAGGTCTATATCCCCAGGTGGTAGTATCCATCAGGTCTTTGCTTAAAAGTCATTTCTACAATAAAACCTTCCCTGATCATCCTGAACAAGTAGCTTCCAAGTCATTCTTGCTTAATACTACACCTGATCCCTTTTTATGCGTTTTACACATGTGAACTCCACTTTCCCTGCTTGAAGGGTAAGTCTATGATGCCACGAACCAAGTCTTATTAGCCATGTATCCCTGGAACCTAGAAAGTGCCTGGCACACAGTATATGCTCAATACTTGTGATCAATTAATGAATGCTTTTGGCTAATAGACCAAATGTGTCCATTTAAGAGCCACAAATGAATTCTTGCTTCTGAGACCAAAAGCCAGTCTCTCCTCAAATTTAGCACTATAGTACACACTCAAATAACAAGGTAATGATAAAATTCACACTTCTAAAAGGAACTTTTTTGTTTCTAAAAGGAACTTTCAGGTTTCCCAAAAGAAACTGAATAACACTTAAACCATAAGCAACAAATCTTAGGAGACACTAGGCCAAAGAATTTGAGAAAACCACACATATGTTACAGCCTACGAGCTTCTAAAATAATTCCTATGGACAAAACTGAAAATAGTCAAAACCCACAAATGCCTAGAAACATAAAAAGAAAAATGAAGATGGGGCCTAACTCACAGAATCTTTACTATTGTGAGTAAACAGTTCTTCAAAAACCCTGTCTTGCATTTTGTAGAGCTGTGCTTTCTTTGCTCCTCACAGCAAGCAACCCTGAGGAATTGATGAGCTGATGGTACTGGCCATAAAAAGCTTAATCAGAAAGCTTAACAGACTTGGTCAGAGGCAACTGGAGTGTCATAGTTACAGCAAGGATTTTAAAGCCCGATACTTCTGTTCAAATCCTCTGCCACTTACTGTAACTTGATCCTGGCAAGTTACTTCATCTCTGTGCTTCAATGTCCTCACCTATAAAACACAATGCTATAAATGAAATGTTTGTGTTCCCCCAAAATTCATGTTGAAATCTAACCCCTAATGTGACCGTATTAGGAGGCGGGGTTTTTGGGAGGTGATCAGGTCATGAAGGGAGGTCTTCATTAATAAGATTAGTGCCCTTATAAAAGAGATTCTGGAACTCCCTTCCACCATCTGAGGACAGAGGGAGAAGAGAAGATGGCTGTCTATGAATTAGGAAGTCAGTCATCACCAGGCACCGAATCCGCTAGCACCTTGATCTTGGACTTCCCAGCCTCCAGAACTGCAAGAAATAAGCTTCTGTTGTTTATATGCTACTGAACGGTATATAATTTAATGGCATATGGTATTCTATCATACACAGCAGCCCAAACTGACTACAACTTACTTCATGAGGTGTGGTAGGCTGAAACTGCACCCCCTACTCACCACGATCTAATCCCCAAGAGCTGTGAATAGCTCATTTAATGTAGCAAAAGTAACTTTACAGATGTGACTGCATTAAACACCTTGAGAGGAGGACACAGTGCTAGATTATCCAAGTGGGTCCAACCTAATCAAAGTGTCCTTGTAAAAGGGAGGCAAGAGGGCCAAGAAGGACATATGACAACAGAAGCAGAGAGACAGAAAGAGGGATTGGAGGATGTTACATTGCTGTCTTTGAAGCTAGACAATGGGGCCACAAGCCAAAGAATGTAGGTGGCCTCCTGAAGCTAGAAAAGGAAAGAAACACTCCCCTGGAGTCCCACAAGAAACACAGCCATACAGACCCATTTCCAGACTTCTGACCTCCAAACTGTAAGAAAATAAATTTGTGTTGTTTTAAGCCATTAAATGTTGGGAATTTGCTACCACAGTAATAAGAAACTAATACACAGTTATCATCAGGATTAAATGAGTTCATACAAGTGCTAAGAACAGTTCCTAACAGTTCCTAACAACCATAGTTAAGAGCTTTTTAAATTTTAGCTATTGTGAGTCAAGATCAGAACCCAGGGGACTCACCGAAGTACTTCAGAGGCTAAGAAAATGAGGTTCAGAAATTTGGTAGTATCTATAAATTTAAAATACACATATTAGGGGTGCCTGGGAGGCTCAGTCGGTTAAGCATCTGCCTAGGGCTCAGGTCATGATCTCCAGGTCCTGGGATGAAGCCCCACATGGTTGGGCTCCCTGCTCAGTAGGGAGTGTGCTTCTCCCTCTCCTTCTGCGCCCTCCCCCCCGCTCATGTACATGCATGCTCTCTCTCTATAATAAATAAATAAAATCTTTAAAAAAATAAAATATATAAAATAAAATGCACATATCATTTGACAAAGAGATTCCACTTCTAAATAGATTCACAGGATAGTCAATATATCCTTGTTTTTAACTACTCAAGTATCCACTAACAGGCTCAAATTACAGAAAACCCATTCAACAAAATAGTAGACAGCCTTTAAATAATGAGGTAGACCTCAATGTACTGATAAGATGTACTGATATAGCAATAAGATGTATCCTTTAGTGAAAAAAAGCTGAGGGACAGAACAGTAAGCATATTAGATTTCATTTTTGTTTAAAAATAAAAAGGATAGGGTGCCCGGGTGGCTCAGCCTTCGGCTCAGGTCATGATCCCAGGGTCCTGGGATCAAGTCCCACATCGGGCTTCCTGCTCAGCGGGAAGCCTGCTTCTCCCTCTCCCACTCCCCCTGCTTATGTTCCCTCTCTCACTCTCTCTCTCTGTCAAATAAATAAAATCTTTAAAAAATAATAAATAAAAATAAAAAGGATACATACATATGTTAATAAATACATGTCAAAAAACTCTAAAAGGGCACGTAGTTCGTTGTTCGTGGTGACTGTTCTAAAGGAGGAGACTAAGGGGATGGAGTAGGAGGGAAACTCTTGCGATCATATGCCTTTTTATGTTATTTTAGGTTTTAACTAGGTATGTGCATGATACCCATTTTTTAAAAACTGAAGTTGAAATGTGACATCACCGACCTATCAACAGGTATTTATGCGCTGACAATGTACCTACCTACCACTGTGCATGACACAGGGCCTAACACCCGGTCCTGCTCTCCAGGAGTTCACATGCTGGCTGAATTTATAATCTAGATTCAGATTAGACAATCATCTAATTGTTTTGGACATTCACATTAGAAAACAGAACCAGACATTCTCTCAAAGTATTTTTCCACTGTGACTCTGGGAGAACAAATCACCACCTAAAAAGAATATTCTATGTCTAATCCATTAGTCCCAACCAGTGCTGCTTAAGCTTAAGAAATTGTTACTTCATGGGAAGTGGTCAGTGTTTAAGAAGGAAAGCAAAGCAGGAGGAATCTTTACAAACAACCCAATTACATACATTATTATACACTCCAAGAAAAAAGATGAACAAATATCATCTCTGGGTAGTTGGATTTGTCTTCTTCATTACACTTCCATATATTTTCCTAATTCTCTACACTAAGGAACATGTATCAGTGGCACAAAAAGAAAAAAATACACATCCTCCTCCCCTCAAAAAATACTTTTTGGTGCCAACACAACATCCATGAGGATTACTGGTTCATTCCAAATCTTCCTCTTGCTTTACAAAAGTGACAGCAATCCAAAATATGACTTTCCATAGGCTGAATTGGTGGCAAAACCAACAAGAATCATCCAAGTCCAAGTGTTCCATTTATAAAATATTTAGTCCACAGTCACCCAATTAGAGCATAACCATAATGAAGACATTATTGCTAACAAGGGAGGCAGACTGGGATCTGGGTCACTCTTCCATAACTCCATTAGTCCCTCTCAGCCAATAAAGAAGTCTGTGTTAGCAAAGTATTTAGCTGACAATGGAATCATGATGTAATGCATTTCTATAACCTTACCAAGGAGGAAAAAGACAGAGCTGAAAAATTCTTAGTGGGCAACTGGAGTGTCAAACAGCAACTTACAAAGGTTCTCCCCCAACCTGGAGACTTGAGGAGTCATCACTGCTGCAAAGTACCCAGTCAATTTACCACAGACACTGACAGAAACAAGGAGCTGGTACTGGACACTATGTGCCAGGCCCTGTGATAAGGGCCCTTCCATTTCCATTCCTTACTCTCTCTCAGAATCTTCTCAATTACTACTGGGAAGTACAAGTGAGACTGAGGCACAAAGCTCAAATCACTCTCCACGGTTACACGGTGAGTGGAGAAGCAAGCACGGAACTCAAACAGTCTTCACTCAAAAGCATGGACATTATACTACTCTCCCTGGAAAGTATAAACGTTATACCACCCCTTCCGTAGTCACCCCCAACTGTCACACGCCACCATCTCCCCAGCTTGCTCCCATCACACTCTACCCTTGCCCCAACTCAGAATCCAATCAAATATTCTCCAGTCCTTCTGTAATGGCAGGTGCCCTCACTGGCTTTTCCTATCAGCCTGTACAGGAAAAGAAGAGGCCATCTGGCAGAATACTCTCCTTATCAAAAGCCACTTTTTAAAGACCACCCCTCTCTCTAAATTGAGCTAGCAGGTTTATGACTTGCTGCCTGGCACTCCTAGAGGACCCACGGTGTCTCCTACCCTGCACACACAGCCCCTCATCAGTCCCATTTATCAACTTGCCAAGTGCTCTCACTCAGAAAGCTGATCTAAGTCGGATCTCCCTCACAATAACCCCAGTAACATGATAACAACAACAGCTACCAGGTTCTGAGCATTTGTTATGCAACAGGCTTTACACACATGGTACCATTTCATCCTCACAACCACCCGAAGAAGTAGGCACTGTCTCCAATTTATAGATGACAAAACTAAGGCTCAGAGAGATAAAGTAATTCAGCCCAAGGTCACACAACCAGTTAAGTGATGAAATATGACTCCACCCAACTTAAGCTTTCAGGGGTCTTGCCCTTTAATGATCAAATGTGAGCTCTTCTTGGACTTTTCCTTTTGAGAGCTATCTTCCAACAACAGATCTGCTGCACGACCACAGGACTCGCACTTCACCCACAGGCTCACCTGAATTTCTTCATTTTCATCTACTAGGAGGAAACTCACGACCTTCTCAGTCATCTTCTTCCTCCTGGTCTCCTCATCCAGCTCTTCTTCCTCCAGTAGCCCCTGGACCTTAGTGACATGGTACACAGTAACAGGGTGTCTCCTTTTGTTACCCCCGGAATGAGTCCTCTTCTGGCACTCCAAGCACAAGTTGATTTTACAGGTCTGGCACCTCACGGCTGCCCTCTGCCTAATACCCGGCGAATGCCCATTGGTGCCTTTGCAGGGGTCGCAGTAAGGGACGTGGCCAGGTTTGAGCCTTATCCGCTCATGGTTTCTCAGGCGCTCCTGCCGATGGAGCTCCTCCTCGCAGCGGAGACACTGCAGACTGCAGCACTCATCACACTCAAAGACCGCTTCGTCAGTCCCGCTGCAGGCGTAACTTTCCTGGCACATCAGCCCCGGATTCAGGCCCTTCTCTGCTGGGGACGTCTGAGCACTCATACTCAGATTGGTAAGGAAATCACCCACCGTAGACCGGTCCCTGGGCTTTCCCCAGGAGTGAAGACAAAGGCTTTTGAGTCTGAGGACTGCAGAACTTTCACTGGATTCTGAACACCTTAAAAAAAAACAAAAACAAAAACAAACCTTCGGTGTCCTATCAGAATTCTTCACACTCACGAATGTTGGGATTTTTAATTTTCTGCCTCCAAGATTCCTGTGTCAGCAGCAACGTTGATTTGGTTTGATGGTTTTATCCTCCATAAAGTGCAAGCAAAGTTGTGGTCAAAGTTAACTTGAAAGGGTCTCTTATGGCTATATGAGAGAGATCCGATAGGTTCACTGAGGTGGGCTCATCAGTTGGGCCTCAGCCACAAGGGTTTGGTAGTGAAAGAGAGTGGTCAGAAGCTCTGCAATATAATCCAACCTCAAGTCAATATTTCAGGGGATACCTACAATAGAGGAAGGAAAAGGATTTCACTAATTTAAAAACAGAAGTCACCTAAAAAAAAAAAGATTGTGGTTAAATATGAGGCCAGAACTCCTGAGAGAAATCTCATTCTTACTATAAAACTTACACAGGCTACTTCTGATCCTAGAAATTTCTTCTCAAAATCATGGGCAAGGCTCCTCCCTTTGAAAACAGCCACTATCTCTAGGCCCAAGGCATTTCAGAGACTTTGTCTCTTCATTTCACAGACTGAAATTCTCTGTTCATCCAGTTATTATAATAATTCAGAATCAAAATCATTAAGCAAACAGTCCTTGGAGGGACAACCCTCTGCACTCCCCTAACCTGCAGCACACACTTATGAGGTGAATAAAGAGACCTGTAAAAATCTAAAGAAATGATAATAATGTAGACTTTAGCTCCATCAAAGCCTTTGGCAGATCTAGTTAGGTTGTTTCAACTCTAGACAAATGTCTATGAAGGACCTTAAGCCTGGAAACAAAAGTCACCATGTCATGTTTAAAAACAATAAAGAACAATTATTGTTACTTCCTTTTGTCCCTTCTCTAATTGCAAAAAAAAGGGAGCAACAGGAGACAGAATTCCTCCTCTAAGGCCCACTGCAAAGCCAGGCCTGCAGTGAGTTATAACAAATAATTTTTCTCTCTGTCACTCAAAAACTAACTTAAAAATAACTTCAAAAAGAAAAAAGGGAAAAAAAGATAACTGGGGCAGGAAAGAGGCTTTTGTCACTTCTACAATTACATTCTTAACCCCTCTTAGCCTTGACCTCCATTCTAATACCCCAACGAAATGTAAAGTCCTCCCTCTAGTAATCAATCAATCTTATTTTTAGACAAACAAGGAAGGCAAGGGAGTGACTAGGAGACCTTATTTACACCCTAACCTCAGCCATGCCCAAGCAGCTCCCACAACGGAAACAAAAATCGAAATTCGCCACAATTTAGAAAAATATAAAATCAACCTTCAAAAGAACACCTCACCGCCCGACCGGCCAAGCAAACAATCTGCCACTCGGGCCCCCACCTCGACACCTCTCTCCAGCCGGGGGTTCCTCACCCTTCCTTTCTCCCGGGCAACACCACCACAACCCGAGGGGCACGAGCAGAGTCTAAACAAAGAAGGTCCCCCAAAATCCGCCCCCACGCTAGCAGAGGCTAGAGCCGAATCCATTGTTTATACCACCCCACCCCCACCCCAGCCGCACCCGCCCCCCCCCCCCCCCCCGGGGGCAGCCGGAGCTCCAGGACTATAGCTCGCCCGGCGCTGGGCCGTGCCCTTCCCTCCCCGCCCGCGGCGGCCCGGGGATCCCACCACCGAGCAGCTCGGCCGCGGTGAGGCGGCGTCGGGGGACCGCAGGGCGCCTGCGGGGGCGGGGGCTGTTCCTCAGGGCACCGGTGGATCCATCCTCATCTCCATCTCGCCCCCCCTCCTCCTTCTCTGCCTCCCGGGCTTCCTCCTCTCCTGTTGTCAGTTGGGATCAGCTGATCGGAGTGAACTTCTCCCAGCTCAGACTACCAGGAAGGCGTGAGCAGTGCAGTCCAGGGAGAGAGGAGCGGGAGGGGGTGGAGTCCTACGCCGGCGAGGGCGGAGAAGGGCGCGCACAGCTTCCTGGGAAATGTAGTTCCCAGGACGTGCGTCCTTCCCCACATCCCGGAAATCAAGGCTCTAAATGACTACAACTCCCAGGACGAAAAAGGCTGCTCTTGTGAGGAGGCGGTGAAGACTGGCCGTCGAGCGTTTCGGGACTTGGAGTTTTTGCATTGACTGCGGTGTTCGAAGATTTCAGCGCGTTGTTTTGGGTAGTGCCCGGAGAGGGAATGGCGCTAAGTTAGATGACTGATGTAATGTGTAGTATAGTTGAGGCAAATAACTCTATTTCACGAACACATATTGCACACGATTCCTTCAGAAATGTGTAAAAACAGGCAATCTCCTCTTCCTGATTTCACCTTGCCCAAGTTAGGAAAAGACCAGAAAGAAATGATAAAAGAATTTACTCTTCTTGGAGTTTTGTTTTCCCTTTATGGGTGTTCTCCAAGCTGAATTTGTTTACCTTACCTTTTACTTTTCGACCTTCTCTACATAGTTTTAGAACTTCTGAATTTTATCTTTAAGTTAGACGGGGTTCATTTTCAGACAAGCTTGCGGGCTACGGTGCAGGCTAATGGTTAACATTGTTATCTGGCTTTTCTTAAAAAGCCATACATTTGTTTAGTGCTTTCACTTTCCGGGGTTTTTTTGTTTATTTCTTGGAATGACACTGAAAGAAAGCCTGCTGTAATAAAAAGAGCCCTGGTCTGAGATGCGGGAGACTGAGCGCTTGTTCTAGAAAGCTGGGTAAATCGCTCAACCCCTCCATGAAATAAAGGAATTGTACTTTATAATTCTGAAGTCTCTGCCAATTCTAACGTTCTATGATTCTATCTTGACAATTGTTAACCCAGTAGAGAAAACTAAGGTTAAGGGACTTGCCAAATCACACAGCAAATTATTGACAAAGCTGGGACAAGAATCCATCTCCTGACTTAGTCACATACTCTTTTATGTTTCAAAGGACATAATTAGACCAATAGTAAAACCAAATCTGTGTAATAATGAGTGAGCCACATATAAGGGTTATATTGCTGAAAATTGTGTTTTCAAGACTGGGCAGATAGCCAACAGTTGGGCTAACTGCACAAATGACTGAGAATTTTTTTTCCTATGCTTATCACAAACCAGGATATTAAAAACTAAGCTGTCTATAGCACCTTAAAACTTCAAAGTTTCAAAGTAGGAAAAGGAAAAGAGATTTTCTTTTCTTTTCTTTTAAGATTTTATTTATTTATTTGAGAGAGAGAGAGAGCGCGGGCCCACAGCTGGGGAGAGAGACGGTGGGAAAGGGAGAAGGAGAAGCAGACTCCCCGCTGGCGCGGGGCTCCATGCGAGAACCCTGGGATCGTGATCTGAGCTAAAGGCAGACGCTTAACTGAGCCACCCAGGTGCCCCATTATTTTTTTTTTAAGAGGGATTTTAGGGGCATCTAGCTGGCTCAGTCAGCAGAGGGTGGAACTCTTAATATCAGGGCTGTGAGTTTGGGCCCCATGTTGGGTGTGGAGGTTACTTTAAGGGGGGGGGAGGGATTTTTAATAAGTTCAGAGAATAGGTCTTGAGCTAGGCTCTTTTTTTGTTTTTTTTTTTAAGATTTTATTTATTTATTTGACAGAGAGAGACCCAGCGAGAGAGGGAACACAAGCAGGGGGAGTGGGAGAGAGAGAAGCAGGTTTCCCGCCGAGCAGGGAACCCGATGTGGGGCTGGATCCCAGGACCTGGAATCATACCTGAGCCAAAGGCAGACGCTTAACGACTGAGCCACCCAGGTGCTCCTTGAGCTAGGCTCTTAATAATTCCCTAGAAGGGGCACCTGGGTGGCTCAGTCAGTTGAGCGGCTTAGGTCACGATCTTGGGGTCGTGAGATGGAGCCCCATGTCGAGCTCTATGCTCCACACCAAGTCTGTGTGAGAGTCTCTTTCTCCCTCTGCCTCTGCCCCTCCCCCTGCCCATGCTATCTTGCTAAAACAAAATAAATAAATAAATAAAATCTAAAAAAAAAAAAGAAAAATTCCCTAGAGGGTTTTATTCCTAAGACTGACACTGTAATTTTTTGTAGGCTTAATATTTTGCTTTATACTCCTAATTATAAAATGAGGATATATTTTGGGAATAAAATGGTACTTACTCTCTTCTGAAACCAAGGATACCCATTTTATTTTTTTTTTTTTTGAAGATTTTATTTATTTATTTGACAGAGACAGACAGCGAGAGAGGGAACACAAGCAGACGGGGTGGGAGAGGGAGGAGCAGGCTTCCTGCAGAGCAGGGAGCCTGATGCGGGGCTCGATCCCAGGACCCTGGGACCATGACCTGAGCTGAAGGCAGACACTTAACGACTGAGCCACCCAGGCGCCTCAGGGATACCCATTTTAAAGTTTATTTTTTTTAAGTTGTAATAAGCACCCCTGAAACCATGGAAAATGATTGCCTCCAAGGAGTATAACTAAGGTGAGGAAGAAGAGAGACTTCATTTAAATCCATTTGTACTTTTTTTAAAGATTTTATTTATTTATTTGACAGAGAGTGAGAGAGCACAAGCAGGTGGAGTGTCCCAGGGAGAGGGAGAAGCAGACTCCCCGCTAAGCAGGGAGCCCAACACGGGGCTCAATCCCAGGACTCCGGAACTATGACCTGAGCCGAAGGCAGATGCTTAATCAACTGAGCCACCCAGGCACGCCATTTGTACTCTTTTTTTAAAGATTTATTTTAGAGAGCAAGAGAGAGAGACAAAGATAAAGAGCAGGGGGGGGAAGGGGAAGGGACAGAGGGAGAAGGAGAGAAAATCTCGAGCAGACTCCGCACTGATGGCAAAGCCAGATGAAGGGCTGGATCCACGACCCTAAGACCCTGAGATCATGACCTGAACCAAAACCAAGAGTCGGACGTTCAAACAACTGAACCACCCAGGCACCCCTGTACTTTTTATTTTATTTTATTTTTAAGTAATCTCTACACCCAATGTGGGGCTCGAACCCACAACCCTGAGATCAAGAATCGCACACTCCATAGACTGAGCCAGCCAGGCGCCCCAAAACAAATTTATATTCTTGAAGTTTTTTACTATGTAAGTGCAAATATGTCAATAATAATGGAAAAAATAGTTTTTATTTAACAGATAATTGGAATTATGAGACCCATTTCTGTGTTGTTGCCTTTTTTTTTTTTAAGATTTTATTATTTATTTGACAGAGAGAGAGACAGCGAGAGAGGAAACACAAGCAGGGGGAGTGAGAGAGGGAGAAGCAGGCTTCCCGTGGAGCTGGGAGCCCGATGCAGGGCTCAATCCCAGGACCCTGAGATCATGACCTGAGCCGAAGGCAGAAGCTGAATGACTGAGCCACTCAGGTGCCCCTGTTGTTGCTTATTCATTTTCATTCTTCATGTGCTTATTTTTTACTATGAGCAGCATTTTACTTGGAAAATTATTTGTGGGAATTCTTTGAGGCCTAGGATAAAGGTTCATTCCTCCAGAGAGGATTTGCTTTTCCTTCTGCCCAGAGGGACCACTTTAGGGTATATTCACTGTTTGGAATTTTTTTTAAATCACCGGGAGATGTGTATTGGGTTACATATCTCTGGGAGGGCTGTCTTATGGGTCCAGTGCCCCCTCTACAGTTCTCCTCAATCTCCTCCTTCCAAGACAACATTCTTTCCATTCAGTCTGTTGAATGGTCTATTTATTGATAATTTACCCTTACACTGAAACTGTAGCCCTTTGCGGTCCCAGCTTTAGACTTGCCACATCCACCAGGCCCTGGGCTTTGTCTTCTGACCCACGTGGCCCTTAAGGACTAGAAAAACCAAGCTTAAATTGCCAATTAAGGAACATGCCCCAGGGTAAAAGTGACATCATTACTCCACTTATTCTCTAGATCCTGCCTTTACCTAGATTTTAGTCTGATATTTACCTATCTTCTTGTTGACTCTTCAATATTTTACCGACATTTTTGTTGTTTTTAGCAGGATGAACTGTTTGCCATAGTCTGAGTCATATAACAAAAACGAAACAATCAAGCTAGTGGTTGGCTCAGAGAGGGAACTGATGATCCGGACACATGTTAGGCTTCTGGGTGTTGGCAGTGTTCAACTCTTAACCTAGGTGGTGGTTGCACTAATCTTCACTTGATAATTTTGCTTTAAACAATGTATATGTCAGGGCACCTGGGTGGCTCAGTCGTTAGGCGTCTGCCTTGGGCTCAGGTCATGATCCCAGGGTCCAGGGATCAAGCCCCGCATCAAGCCCTCTGGAAGCCTGCTTCTCCCTCTCCCACTCCCCCTGCTTGTGTTCCCTCTTTCACTGTGTCTCTCTCTGTCAAATAAATAAATAAAATCTTTTAAAAAATAAATAAATAAAAAATAAACCATGTATATGTCTTTTGCACTCTTCCATTTGTATATCTCACCATAAAAGATAAAATTTTTAAATTTTAATTAGGAAAAAAGTTAGTGAAGTAAAAGTTAACATAAAAGTAAATTCTACAGGGTAAGCAAACCAAGGCCTTGGACTTAATAGAATCATTTCCTTAAGTTGTTCAACATAACATTTTAAAGATCTTAACAAGGGCGCCTGGCTGAC